GCTGCAAACTCAAGTAGCTAGAAGCCAAGCTAGAAGTTTGGTTAAGTCTATCAGTACAGGTTTTTGGATTATGTTAGGTGCCAAATGTTTTGCAGTTTTCACATGTTAGGAACTATGAAGATGTCAGTGGCCATTATGATGTGAAGAAACATTAAATAAATGATTGAAGTTAATAACCATGCCAAAGCCTCCTCTCCTTACTTTCTCTTCCTGGCCTTGGCACCCCAATCCCAATCCAGAGAAAGGGCAGCAGTCCTGTGAAGATCCAGTTTTTCATACCCAGCATCAGCAACTGGACCTCAAGGTGGTCTCCCTCTCTGGGTACAGTGGTGAATACTTTGACTCAGGATAGCAGAACTCTTCATTTTGCAAAACAAGAACAATTTAGGCTGATGCTTTCACATGGTACCATGTTGCCTGTTGTCCACACAGGTAGGAGACCTTCTTTACCCATGTCCAATGCTTCAGAACAGAAGGCAACTTTGGAAATTATGGTTGTCCTGTGTCCTCTCTTCCTCTTTGATTTCTGTATTTCAGAAGTGGACACTCAGAGGACAAAAACTCTATCCCGATGAACTCATGCCAAACCAAGTACTCTCAAGAGGGTAATTTGAAGCAGATTGCTCAGATATTAGTCTCCAACTACAAGCTCTCTTCTTAACCTTGCATTCTTAGAAAGGCAGTCATCCTCACTGACTGGGACTCCGTGAGAGTTAAATAAAGCAGGTGGTTTCTTTTAGGACACTGAGATCTGCTTAAAGAGACTATTCATGACCTTCCTCCAAGTGTCTTATGGTTGAATGTCTGCCAACAGTACATTAATGATGTAGCTAAATCTCACTATATCATAGCCACTGAGGATTAATATTTATCAAAAATATGTACTAAAGAAAGTGAAGACTAGCAATGAACCCAATTCAAACTCAGCTACCAAGGTTTTGAGAAGTATCAATCTTAAAAGCAAAGCTTTGGCATCTAATGACTATACTGGGATACAACTGAACTTTGTTATAGTTACGACATCATCAAAAAACGGCTGTGAGTTTTTCTATTAACTTCTTCACAATATCTTTAAGTGATCTGGAAAGGGATTTTGAGTAACCTATCTAAGGTCTGGTAAGTGACAAAATCAGTATTGTATAGATCCAGAGTTCTTAATCATTCTAATACATTGTCCCCATCCTTATGAGATGCTAGATTAGTCACTAGTGTATTTACAAGGGTCTTGGAGTTCACTTTTCCTTTTCAATTACTTTACAAATAGCCTGAAATCCTGCCTGTGGGTAATTTTTAAGCATGTCTGATTATCTATTAAGAGAGAAGAGAAACTGTTTTGAATGACAAAGCTCACTTTTGGGAAATTCCTTGTAGGTAGATAGAAGGAAAACTATGGTATCCTTTGATCCTGAAAGTTGTTCGTGCAGTGGTATAGATCATCAGTATAAGAGAGTTTAGGGACAGTAATCCCTAAAGTCTGAATTGCCAGTAGATCCTAAAGGTGGAATTGCATTTGTGCCAATAGATCTCAACTATTCCTTGGGTTGTATGTTTATTTGTGTATGGAATATATGCATACACAGAAAGTGATGGAGAGAAAAAGCAGGCAAATGCTTCCCTAACCACCCATCTTCTCTGGAACAGTAAGTGCCTGGGTTTCATCTACTGAAAGTGAATATACTCTCAAAGTTATCTGCACAGAAAAGATCTTAAGCATAGGTCGAAGTGCACTATGGATGGCATTGTATATTGAGGATGAAGAGCCCATATGTAATCAATATCAATTCTACAAGCTGTACTTGATCAAATCTTGGTATTTATAGCCCAGAGAACTTGTAATCAAACTCAGATCTTTCCATTTTTTAAATAAAGTCATGAACATGAAAAATGATATTTGGTCTGTACTAAATTCTTAACAGTGATGTAAGTGGAGTAATTCATGGTGTGTCCTGTGTATGTCTTGTTTCCAGAATCTACGTCCTTCCCCACATATTTCTCCTAGTGAATGTTAGTACTAAGTTGATGCTTGAAGGACAGAGAGTACCTGGTTATTCCTTGGTATTCAAAGGAAAGGAAGTGATCACAGAGAGACTGCTACCCTTTTCTTCACCATAGACATGTGCCCCACAAGTCACACTTATCATTTTTGCAAAACTGCACATGACATCTGTGACACTGACCTATTTCCTATGTCTCTTAGGCATTCTGAATAGCTCTAGACAAGTTAGGAATTCTATCAGGTAACTATTCCTTCAGCATTTTAAATAACATCACTAAAATCTTTTGGAAGCCTGAAATGGTTGTGATTGACTCTCCTTTGGATGAAAATCAGCAGACAAGGCTGGAGGTTTACAGAGGAGTAAACTGGAGAATAAAATAGGGCAGAGTAGGGGAAAAGGACAGAAACACATACTCTACATTTAGACAGCTGCCATGGGGTTCCAGTGATGTATCAAAAAGTGCCAGGAGAGATTTCAGTTCATTCTCCTTCTCCTTCTGAGGGTTATCAACTGACTTTCTACCCTAGCTATATATTTTGTGTTCAGAAAGTCAGAAAATTTGAGTTGGAACATAACACAGGTCACGAGGAAGGCTGCTTGCACTTCAAGGTCAGCTGTCATTGACTGGCTCTGTGACCTTGGACATATTGGTTAAAACAGTTTACTGTACTATCAAACAGAAATATTAAAGTGCTTCCTCACAATATTAGTGGAAAGATTAGAGCTAAGCATGTGAAAAACCCAACACCGTACTTGGCACATACTTATTTAGTAGTACAACAATTGGCAACTTTACCTTGATGGTGCCATACCTTGTCCTTGGCAGGTTTCTCTCTACTCGAGTCTGCAGGAGAGCTGATGTGCTTGAAGACTAAGAAACTAACGCAATGCAAAAAGCTAGAGCAAGAAAAACTGGATACCTTAATTTACTTGCTACCTTCCCTTCCCCTACTCCACAAGTATACATATATTTAGAGTCCAAGGAGGCTGAAAAACTGAAACTTTGCAATTTAGTGTTCAGGGAAGACCACACTTGAAGGCCCCAGAGTTTGAGCTGGATGCTCTCCTACTTCATAACCTCACCCCCACTCTATTTTACAGAACTCCTTCAGCTTGGACTTTTCAGTTATTAATTTTCTCCTTAACAAAACTCCTGCCCTTAGCCTATAGTTCTTGGAATGCTGGAGATCACTGAGATGCGATAGAGGTTGTATCACCCTGGCAACAGTGAAGGACGCTACACAGTGGTATTCACAAGCTGCTCTAATTAGGCTTCTGTATCACAGCAGGTCAAACATGGGGGCCAAAAGTGTTTATCTTTCCTCTCCATTTTCACTCCCCCAGCTAGAAGTTGTTCTCTTCTGGAGGCTGAAAAATGTGAGGATGTGCCCTGTCACCTCACAGTAGCTATCTATCCTTTTTCTTTGGCATCTTTTCTCCCCCCAAAACCATCTTCTTTATTTTAAAAAATGTGAGGGATGTCTTTGGACTCTCTCCTGTAATGAGGTGACAGTTAAGGGTGGTCTCTGGTGATTCAAAGTATGTAAAAGATCAGAAAGCTTACAGGTTTCAAGGATGAGGAAATAAATCTGCACTCTTCCTACCCTATTTAGTGGTGACTTCCCATATGATACCCACCCCAGTGCCAGGTGTGCCTCTCAGAAATTATTACCTTCTGGTTCTGTAGGTAACATTTAGGGAGAATGGAAAGCTGGTTTAGAAACTGTGAAAGGAATCAGCATGAAGAGAGACAAAATACTAACACTCACCTCAACAGCTTGGGTGCTGAAATACAGAGCACCAGTGGAGTATGCTGTACAAAGTTTCTTTACAAAATTTCTTCAGGTTGAAGATCCAAGTCAAGCTGCCTTCAGGAAAGCCGTAAGAGCATTCCCTGAGGATATGGCTCCCGTTAATGTAATAGCTACACATTTACCGCTCCTACCCTCTCCTTTCCTGAACTTAATATTGTCTACTTTCAAGTCTCCAAAAACCACTTTGCACACTGTCCCTATCTTCATCAACATTCCTTCCTCTCCCCAATTTCAAGTCTCACAACTGATATCATTAAGGCACATCTTGTTCCAGCCCTCCATCCTTCCCATAACTTTCCCTAATCATTCTGTATCTCGTCCCCTTATTCACACTCCTACACCTTTTCCACCACTGCTCAGACCCCACTGCATTCTCCACTGTCTCCCCTGGCACCTAAAGTTGTAAACTATTCCTGTGGATTCCCATAGCACAAATGTACCTGATTTTCTTACCCCCAGTTATATTACTTGCCGCAGCTTGATGTAATTGATAGCTTACTTCTATCGCTCTTCTCCCTTAAACTCTGGGACTGAGATAGGTCTTCTTTAGTTTTTTTGTTTGTTTGTTTGTTTGTTTTGGTTTTTTGAGACAGGGTCTCACTATGTATTTGAGACTGACCTAGAACTCATTATGTAGCCCAGGCTGGTCTTGAACTCACAGCGATCCTCCTGCCTCAGCCTCCTGAGTGCTGGGATTACAGGTGTGTGCCACCAAGCCAAGATATCTAATTCATTATGCTCTTATCTTTCACTACACTCTGGAACAGTAAGGCAAATAGCGGTCTTTTTCACACAAAAGTAGACACAAAAGAAAGGCAATCACAAATTAGAGGTTTTATGTTTATTTCTGTTGTGCGTGTTTTTGTGTTTTATTGTAATTTAACTTTGGCATCTAAACATTTTACTGATTATTTCAAAGACATGAATATTGCCAATATATTTTACATAGATATCTGAACTTTTAAACTGAAACAAAAGTCAGGAAATAAGCAATTTATAAATGCTGATCATGAAATTAATTTAAGGCTGTATTAGAAGGAAGGAAATGCTATTAGAACTGGAACATCACATAATATATACTTGCTACTACCAGTGTTTCACAACTTCTTATTTTGGATCCCAGTGTCCATTTCCCCAAGATCCCTTTAACAGATACTACTCAACTGAAGTAACACATCTTTCCAAGACTTTACATTGAGCCAAAGAATATGGCAGTTGCCTCAGATCTGACAATGACCTTCTCACCTTCCACAGGATCCTTATATTGCTCTGGCCAATCCTGTGATCCCTTTCCATGAAGTCTGGCCATGTAATTCAAGGCTTTCATTGTGATGGTTTCTAGGTGACCTTGAAGACCACACAGAAGCTCATACTCAACTAGATCAGAGTAAAAAAAAGTGGTCTGCATTCTAGGTTTCACTGTTTCATAAGCTTCCTGGTGATGGAATACTTTCTCCCTACAATCACATAAATCTCTGTAGCAAATTTCAGATATTGGCCTCTTTCACATGGATGCCCATCAGGAAAATCAAATCCAGGATTAGCATCACACACTCCTGAGTGGTTCTCCCCAGACTCTCTACCTTTACTTGCTCTTCTTCTAATTCTGGTTGTTGGACAAGGAAGTACATGTGCTCACTGGTGTTAACCTCCATCAGAGAGAACTCATAGAACAGATCAGGAATTAGAGTAGCTTGATTGAGTATATTTGAGAACACATCCTTGAATTCTTTGCCAGTATGAGCCATGAGTTCATCCTGATTTATAGGTAGCAACTCTTTAGTGACATTAGTGGCCAACTTTAGCAAATCCTTCACAGTGTCCTCTCACAGAACTCCAAGCCAACAGCCTGGCTTTTTTTTTTTCTTTTGTACTGGTGATCGAACTCAGGAACTCATGCTTATGAGGCAGGCAGCAGAATCACTGAGCTAAATCCCTCGACCAAGCCAGGCTTCTTTCTTTGGCTTTGCCCCCTTCCTGATCTTTGCTATACTCCTCTGGCCAACTCTGGGGTTCTTCATCATGAGCTTCCACCACAAACTTCAATGCTTCCATCTTTGGAGTTTCTCTACAGGCTCCATACCCCCACAAGAACTCAAATTCAAAGGGATTCATGCTTGGCGCCAAAAATCACATATGCAAAAAGTCAATAGTGAGGAGGTTTCTTGTGTTCCAAAAGAGGATGTTGATCCTCTGAATCATATCCAATATATCAACCTTAGCAGCAGATCCCAAATGAAGGGCTCTTTTTCCTAGTTGCCATTCAGAAGGATGTGGCCTAGAACCAAGGCCAGGAGAACTTCCTTTGCCCTAAGGTCTCTACTAGTCTATCAGTAGGCTGGGGACCCTGTTTGTTGATTAAGTTGTTGGCCTGGGAATCAAAAACCCTCAGGTTCAAACTAAAGACATGATCTACGTGAGCCAAGGCTTGTCTGAGTATCTCTGGCAATTGATCTGAGTATTTTCTGAGAAACTCTAGCATTTCTGACTGCTGGACAAAACCTTCAGTTTGGATTTTCATTACCATGAAATTCACCAAAGCAATCCGTCTGTCTTCTATGTGGACCTGATTGTCAGCAATTTTCATGACTGCTCCTTGATGAGAACCTTGATATCATTCAAGTCTAGGGCAACTTGAGTGCTGGCATCCTGCAGGTTGATTGGAACCTTAAGACCCTGGGGGTCACCAAATACTAGCTTGGAGGTAAGGAGGGCATGTGCAGGCATTAGTAACCTGTGTTTCACCCCTGCCTTGTTATCATCTGCAGTGGTCTCTTCTTTGACTGCATATATGCTCACTTACCAGAGACACAGCTCCAGGAAACAGGAGCAGGAAGCCATCTGTCTGAGAGACAACAGTTAGTGTCTTGGTACCTTGGACCAAAGCCAAAGTCCTACAACCAGGAACTAGGCAGATAAAAATTCACAGCCATAAAAGCACAATCTTGTTATAAAGGCAGTTGGAAGCAATAAGCACAAACTAGGAGGAAGCTTACCCAGGTGCATTCAGGTTCTGCAACATAGTGTACAGGCCCTGCTGCCATTTTTCCATTCCTGCCTCTCACTTTTTCAGGGGAGGCATGGCTTGTCCAAGTGGTTGCTGATGGACTTTAACTTATAGGAGACGTGTACTTTTAAAAAGTCATGGGAAGCTGGTTCTTTGATGATGATTAACTTTTTCAAAAGCCATTCTACATAATTTTTGGGAAAATCGTTTCATAATTAAATTATTCTTGGAACTGTCTAAGGCCCAATGTCACCTTGCTCACCAGCTGACTCTGGTATGTGGAAACATAACTCCTCACAAGCCAAGACCTCAGTGGTCCCATGATACTGTGATGCTCAAGGGCATAGTTCCATCATCTGAAGACATCCAGATTCTTGGAGAACTGAGTAGTAATTAAAAAAAGAGAAAGGTTTCACCTGGGGAAAGGACAAATTCATTACTAGCCTGCTATGTCTTCCCACCTACTATTATAAGTATGCTTTGCCCTTTTCACTGTCCTCATCAACATAAGATATTCATCAACATAAGATTATTGCTGCCCTCAGAGTCACTGGATACTCCCTCCAATTATTGTGTATACCCAATAAATAATGACTAGCTCAGTATCTTTTATCTTTCCCACTCTGGCACTGACCTCTGAGGCCCCCATGTACTACAAAACTATGTCTCTATTGTGTTTATTTCTTTATCCCTCACCACCCTCCTTTCTAGGAAGATCAGAAGATTGATCAGCCTCCAACAGAACTTGAATTTTTTTTGTGGAATATAAAGCACCATGTTAACAGACAATAGACAATTCAGAGAGAAGGAGGATGTTAATGATAAAGATTATAGATTAATTAATGCATTCACAAACTCAACAGATATTTCTTTAGCATGTGCTACATGCCAGGCACAATGCTGGGTATTACAGTTACATCATAGGAAAAATATAATGATGGCCTCTTTCCATGTGGCACTTACATTCTAGGGTAGATTCTGTCAGGTAAAAAAGAGCCAAAAACAAAGACCTAACCAGATCCACTACAAGCCTTTATTGTGGAGACAGGCTGTCTCCAATCAAAGGAGAGAGAGCAATATGGCAGAACAGAGAGGTTCTTTTGTAGTACTGGGGTGGGGCTTGTAGGAGCTGTGATGGAGTTAAATGAGGTAGTATTAAGGGATTGGAGGAGTCTGTGATATTACTAGGAGGGGCTTGTGACATCACTGGTTAATTGGAGGTAGCAAGTATCTGGTTACATTTTGATGGGAGAAGAAGCTTCATGGGAAGAGGAAGGCTGTCCTTTGGTAAGTGGGAGAAGCCATCTTTTTAGGTGAGAATCAGGGCATTATGGGAAGGGGAGTAATGGCCATTTTAAGGTGAGGAAAATCTAAGAGATTCCAACGATATTGAAAACCACTCCTTTATGGAGCACAATGTGACAGGTACTGTTTCTGATGCTTTTGTTCTTTTCATATTGATATAGGTGAAGAGAGGTAACTCCCAAACCTACTAGATATCTGAACTATGAATTTGTGTTCTCTAAAATTGAAGGATAAATACCATGAACAATGGAAGTTAAGAAGAAGAAAATTTTATTGAGAGAAAGATAGCTTCTAAGAGAGAGAGAAGGGGGACCAGAAAATGGGTTGCCCACTCATCCAACTTCTCAGTTACTTAAATAATACTGATCCAACAAGAAATCACAAGGTGCACAAAACTATAAACAACAATAAGATTATGACAAGTATAGTTGCTTAGATGATATTGATTAAATGAGGACCAATGGGGAAACAAGTCAGGTAGCAAGTGTACAAGGAATGAGCAAGGATTTTCAGTGCTAAAGGGTGGTTCAGATATCTATCTTGAAAGATCTTGGTCCACCACCCAGGTGATTGATACCTATTTAGAATATCAATCACTGCTATTTATCCTATGTTGGTGTGGTAGTTTCTCTCCTTTTACAATGCTGGACTTTAGTGAGTGTATCTTGATTGAAATCCATGTTGGCCTGTCCTGGGTTGGCCCTGTCTAGCTGCCTACAAGATATCTAATTAATGTACCCATCTGCAGTAATATTAAAATGATATACTCTTAGCTATAAGATAACTACTGTTAGCCCTTACTTTAGAGATAAAGTGCATCCGGAAGGTGGATTTACTTGTTCAAGGTCAGGCAGCAACAAGTGAAAGAGATAAGATTTGAATCCTAGGCTGTAAGGGTCTCAATTATAAGTACTTTTTATCACATTATGTAGATAGATAAATTAGTTAGATATCTTGTAGGCAAGTAGACAGGACCAACCCACAAGGAGCCAATATGAAGGGCAGTCAAGGAGCCAACATAAGGACAATCAAGGCTCATTCACTGAAGGCCAGCATTGTAAAAGGAGAGAAACTATGACACCCACATAGGATAAATAGCAGTGATTGATATTCTAAATAGGTATCAATCACCTGGGTGGGGGACTAAGATCTTCCAAGATCCATGACCCACCCCTTACCTTTGAAACTCCTTGGTCATTCCTTGTAATTCTTTCTCATTCTTTATACACTTGTTATGTTACTTGTTTCTCCATTGGATGCCCACTTAATCAATATTACCTAAGCAAGTACACTTATCATAATCTTAGTGTTCGCAGTTTTGTCTGCCTTGTGATTTCTTGTTGGATCAGTATTACCTCAGAGACTGTACTTGTAATCTTACTACTTGACTATAGTTTTGTCCCACCTCGAACCCTCCTCACTTCAAAGCCTTGCCCCATAAAACACCTTGGAGAAGTTGGGTGAGTGGGCAGCCCATTTTCTGGGCCCCCTTCTGTCTCTCTTAGACAGAAGCTTTCTCTTAATAAATTTTTCCTATTCTTAACCTCCATTGTTCCTAGAATTCATTCTTCAGTTTTAGAGAACACAAACTCATACTTCAGATATCTAGCAGGTTTGGGAATTAATCTCTACCCCCTATGTCAAGATCCTGACCATCAAGGACTATTTGGTCCTACTTATTAAATCCTATCATTAGATCCATTAAAATGGATCACATAGGCATTCTGCCATCTCCAGTGCCAGAGGGCCTGCTTGGCCATGTCCTCCCCTGCAGGCTCCTCTGCCACCATCTTCAGCACCAGAAATGTAGCTCATGGGCACCTCCGAGCACCCCCCCAACCCCAACCCCAACTCACACTTTCAGACCTCCTGATTGTGCCAGTCTTTGGAACTACTCTGTAGAGGCAGAGGTGGTCACAAAGAGTATTTTCTGGTGCTTTCAACTTTGAACATCTTTAAAGAAGGTGTGGGGGAAACCTATAGTAGAACTGAGTGGAGTTCAACCCCTCAGGAGGTCGGGGAACTCAGTCAGGGCCTTGCAGCCTGAAGTCAGTATGTGTCGTGGGGTTCTGCCACCAGCTAGCTGAGATCAGAGGACTTGGCTCTGCCCATGGCAGCGCATGTTGTGTATTATGACAGCAGTGACATAGTCTGAAGAGGCCCTTCAAACTCATTTTTTTCTTTCTTTTTTTCATTCCACTCTGCAAATTCTTTTTTTTTTTTCTGTCTTCATTCTCCAACTCAGTCTCTTGCTTCACTATATTATCCTTCATCTCCCTTTTTGTTTCTGCTCCTGTCCTAACTCAGATTTCTTCTTTTATTATTTTTTTCTCTTTTCTTTATGTTCTTTTCTTATGTTATTCTACCTCACTCAAGGGTTATCATACTTCTATTTTGTTTGTTCATTTGAATTTAACAGTTTCCTGACGATTGTCTGTCCATTCTACATCTTCTGGCTTCATATGAAACCTTCTCTAATTCTTTTACTTATCTACTCCTCTTGTCTTAACTCTGTCTTAAGCCCTCATTCTGAATGGTAAATATCCTTACTGAAAAGTTTATTCACTGAAAACATATTTTGGATTGCTTCTTCGTTTTAATTTAATTCACATGGTTTGAAGGTGATAGACTGATGACTACTACAAGTGGTCAATTTGCAAATTGTGATTCATCACATTATGGTGCTGACTGTATCAATTAGGATAAAGGATAGTGAATGATTCAATGTGCTGTTTTATTCAGTATTATCAAAATGAGAATATCTATGGGTCATTAGAGACCCATGGGCTGAAGCCCAACTATATCAGGAAGATTTAAGTAATAACCTAAAGGTTAAACTAAGGACAACCAAACAACAATAGTGAAAATGAGAAAATGCTTAAGCAAGATGCAGGGGAAAGACCTCCAATTCACCAATGGCAAACAGTGGGGCCAATAAGGATAAAAAGTCTGACAGTGAATCATCAGGACACCCTGAACTGAAAGCACAGGAAGTAACAAAACTGATCAATCAGGCTTTAGAGAAATTTAAAACACAAGTAATTTCTCAGGTAATCATAGAGATGATGAGCAAAATGAAAATTGTAATTCAAGACTCTAGAACAGAAACTGAGAGGAAAATACATAATCTCAGGACCACGATAGAAGCCATAAAGGCCCATCATAAGAAAGAATTGGAAACAATAAATGCCCAATACAAGAAAGAAATGGAATCCATAGGAAAGATTCGAACAGATATCCAGGAGATCAAAAACTCCATTGACAGTGTTCACAAAAGAATAAAAGAGTCCGAAGATAGAATCTCAGAGATAGAAGCCAAAGGCCCATCATAAGAAAGAATTGGAAACAATAAATGCCCAATACAAGAAAGAAATGGAATCCATAGGAAAGATTCGAACAGATATCCAGGAGATCA